ATAATAGTGTAAAATAATAAATGTAATAATACAATAATAGAGAAAAAATGGAATAATAGCAGTAATAAATAGATAAAAATAATGTAATAATAGAAAAAATAATAAATTCAATCAAATAATAAGAGAGTAAAATAATGTAAATGTAATAATAGTAATAAATAAAGTAAAATAAAATGTAATTAAAATAATACTAATAATAGAATAAAATAATAAATAGCCTTGACTTGAGTATAAGCCGAGGGGAGCTTTTTTTGCCTAAAAAGGGGCTGAAAAACTAGACTTATACTCGAGTATATACAGTACTTTAACAAGAGGAAACACTTTTTCTTGTTTCTTTTTGATGTTTATTTAAAAAGTGTCTTCTTACAGGAATTGTTACAATGTATACAATTCTGTTTTCTTTCCCCTAAAAGGGACACATAATGCAAAGAAAAGTTAGTCCAATTCAAACTGAGCCTAAGTCAGTGTTTCTCAACCTTCCTAATGCCGCCACCTTAATACACAGTTCCTCATGTTGTGGTGACCCCCAACCATTAATTTCGTTGCTACTTCATAACTGTAATTTTGCTCCTGTTATGAATCAGAATGTAAATATCCAGTATGCAGGATGTGTTTTCATTCACTGGAGCAAATTTGGCACAAATACCTAATATGCCCAAATTTGAATACTGATGGGGTTGATTTTGTCATTTGGGAGTTATAGTTACTGGGCTTCACCTACAATCAAAAGCATTCTGAACTCCACCAACAATGGAATTGAACCAAACTTGGCATACCAAACTCCCATGACCAAAAAATACTGGAAGAGTTTGGTGGGCATTGACCTTGAGTTTGGGAGTTGTAGTTCACCTATATCTAGAGAGCACTGTGGACTCTAACAATGATGGATCTGGACCAAACTTGGCACAGATCCTCAATATGCCCAAATGTGAACACTGGTGGAGTCTGGGGAAATGATACTTGACATTTTGGAGTATGGGATTTATAGTTCACTTGCAATCAAAGAGTATTATGAACCCTACCAATGATAGAATTGGGCCAAACTTTCCACACAGAACCCTCATGACCAACAGAAAATACTGTGTTTTCTGATGGTCTTAAGTGACCCCTCTGACAGCCCCTCGCGACCCCTCCAGGGGTCCTGACTCCCAGGTTGAGAAACACTGGCCTAAATGGAACTTAAGTGATATGTTTCCAAATTATTGCTGAACTGGTAAAGCCTTTCCTAAGCATTTCGCCTTCGGGAAACCCTTGAAACAACGTTCAGGGAACCCCCACAAAGAAATAATCATATCAAAAAAATAAATCGTTATATCAAAAATACTGTGGGGTGTTCAAGCCTGAATATCTGTGGGATCCTAGGTTTGCAGGTAACCCCGTTTGAGAGGCTCTGATTTAGTAGATCTCTTCTGTAAGGAAGAGCAATTGGATTTAGGCCATAGTATTTAAGAAGGAAGGCATCCTTACTAATTCAAGTGACTAAAAGTAACTCATTATATAATTGGGCTAATACCTGGATTTAAGGCCCTAAGCCACCAGATCCTATCTGGTCTTAGAAGTTAAGTGGCATGAGATTAATTAATTCTTGGATTGGGCAACCATACAATGAATATATGGTGCTCTGGGCATTATTTCAGAAGAAGGAACTGGAAAAACTACCTAGGAAAACCCTATGAAATTAATGGAGTCATAATACATTGATTGGTGATTTGAAGAGACACATAAAAACACACCGACCACTTGAATTTAGGCTCAAAATCAAGGACAGGAATTTGATTACGCCAGAAAAGTAACTTTCAAAGCTCTGCCTTGCTGTCATCTTCAGTTTAGAGACTGAAGCGCAAAGGCTGCCCCTGAGCAGATGTTTCTTTAGTTTCAGATCCTCTCCATTTCCCAGATGAAGCCAGGATTGAGCAAAAACCAGAGAGTTAGGCAATTTAAGAAGGGGAGAAGTGAAAGCAACAAAACTCTATATAAATAAAAATGTAATGTTTGTTTTTGGGATTAACAGAACTCAAAAACCACTGGACGAATTGACACCAAATTCGGACACAAGACACCTAACAACCCAATGTAGGTCCTTCACTCAAAAAAAATTGATTTTGTCATTTGGGAGTTGTAGTTGCTGGGATTTATAGTTCACCTACAATCAAAGAGCATTCTGAACCCCACCAACGATGGAAGTGAATCAAAACTGGCACACATAACTCCCATGACCAAGAGAAAATACTGAAGGGGTTTGGTGGGCAGTGTCCTTTGGTTTTGGAGTTGTAGTTCACCTACATCCAGAGATCACTGTGGACTCAAACAATGATGGATCTGGACCAACCTCTACACAAATACTCAATATGCCCAAATGTGAACACTGGTGGAGTTTGGGGAAAAATAGAATCTTGACATTTGGAAGTTGTAGTTGCTGGGATTTATAGTTCACCTACCATCACAGAGCACTCTGAATGCCACCAATGATAGAATTGGGCCAAACTTCCCACCCAGAACCCCCATGTGGGCCACAGAAACGTGTGTCAGGGGACGGCTAGTAAGCAATAAAAATTACTATCAAATTTTAAATTAGCAGGGCTCAATAGTATAGTTTCTCAAGGTTGCTTTTGTTGTGGCAGTTAATACCTGTTAAGTTTATGTCAACTGATAGCACTCCTCTCAATTGGAGAATAGCAAGAGCCCCAGATCCTTAGCAGAGCTGCTCAGGTCTTGCAAACCCAGGGCTTGGTTGATTCTATACACCTGTTATTATTACCATTATTACTATTACATATTCCCAGTGGAGCCCCGGTTGCACACTGGGTTAAAGCACTGAGCTGATGAGCTTGTTGACTGAAAGGTCGCAGGTTTGAATCCGGGGAGGGGCGTGAGCTTCCGCTGTCAGCCCCAACTTCTGCCAACATAGCAGTTCGAAAACATGCCAATGTGAGTAGATCAATAGGTACTGCTCCGGCGGGAAGGTAATGGCGCTCCATGCAGTCATGCCGGCCACATGACCTTGGAGGTGTCTATGGACAACGCCAGCTCTTCAGCTTAGAAATGGACACGAGCACCACACCCCAGAGTCAGACATGACTGGACTTCATATCAGGGGAAAACCTTTACCTTTATCCTATGCTCAGTGTTGCCCAGGCGTTGAAGGGGCTGCTGCCCCCCTGCTTTCTCCCTTCTCCAGCTCTGAAAAGGCATTAACTCACAGTGTCTGCAAGGCAACACCTTGCCACTCGCTTTGTGCATCCTTTCTTTTTGGCTCTTTCTTTCATTCCTCTATTTCCCTCATAACTTTCTCTTTTCTTTCTTTTTCCTCATATACCTTCCCTCCTTCTTTCCTCTCTCTTGCATTCTTTTTCTTTCTTACTTCTCTCCCTTCCTTTGTCTCTTCTTTGTACCTTCCTTTCTCTTATTTCCATTTCCTCCTCTCCTCTCATACCTTCTCCCCCTTTCTCTTCCTTCCCCCTTCCCCTTTCTCCCCCTATTTTCCTTCCTTCCTTCTTACTCTCTCCCTCCCCTTCTCTCCCTCCTCCTTTTCCTCATACGCATGTCCATCAGAGGGCCACTTCACCTAGCAATAGCCAATCTTTTCCCCAGCCATATCCAAACCACTTTGTTCCTTTTCCCCTCCTCAGCTCAAAGACTGAAAGAGGTAATTTTTTAATTTCAAACCCCTCAATTATATAAAGTTGTAGTTCATGTACATCTAGAGAGCACTTTGGACTCAAACAATGATAGATCTGGACCAAACTTGGCACGAATGCTTAACATGCCTAAATGTGAACAATGGTGGAGTTTGGGGAAAACAGACCTTGGCACAGGCCCGTAGCCAGGATTTCAATTCGGAGGGGGGGGGGGCTGAGTTTGTTTCGGGGGGGCTGAGTCTGAGTGAAAGAGGGTCTACCCTAGCAAACCTTTTGTATCGTTACCCCAATACCCCCATGCATATGGGATATATTGACTATGGTGATCAGATCATGATATGAATAAACATAACAGTTTAAATAATGCACCAGTAAGGCCTTTTCGCGAACCACCATGAGAATTACGGGGCTCAAGCCCCCCCCCCCCCCGGGCTACATGCCTGCCTTGACATTTGGGAGTTGTAGTTTCTGGGATTTATAGTTCACCTACAATCAAAGAGAATTCTGAATCCCACCAACGATAGAACTGGGCGAAACTTTCCAACTTCCCATGCCTTGATGAGACTCAGTGACATGAGCCTCCCTCCAGCTTCACATGCTCTCCCTTGCCTGCACATGTGCACCATGCTGCCATGCTCCGAGCACACCTGCTCTCTTTGCTTGGAGTCTCAGAAACAGTCCTCTCCTCGGCTAAGAGGCCGGCCAATCACAGCAAAGGAGGGCTTTTGGTGGGAGGATTTGCCGTCTGTTTCCAAAAAGGAAAAGAAGGACAGGCAGAGAGATCTTCAGCCTTCTCCGCCAAAGGTGTTCCTAAAACCATCTGAAATATATGTTTTCTGATGGCCTTTGGTGACCCCTCTGAAACCCTCTCACGACCCCGGCAGGCATCCCGACCCCCAGAATGAGAATTATAGTAACCATAGTAACTAAGAATTATGGAACTTGTAGTTCAATACCTTCAAAGGGCACAAAAGAGAGGAAGGCTGCTCCAAGCCGATCCCATTTGCTACTGCCAACCTTTGAAGTTATCCAATTAAACATAAAAACATCCAGTTTGGAAGAGATGCAATTTATGTTTCTTATTATTGCCCAATCCAGTTAGCCCTGGAACACCCTAAAGATTTTATGCATTGTTCTTGATTGCTGGCCTACATTTTTAATATGAACAAAATAAATATTTTAAAGGATTAAGCACCAATTGCTCCTCAGCTCGCTACAACTGACAGCTTATTCTACAATTGTAGAAAGAAAGCCGAAATTGCTTGGCAACCATATTCAACAAAGAAGCTTGGAAGCTATATTTTAACCCTGCTGCAATCTGGAAGAAAAATAGTACCAAGAATGGATGAATGCCCTATTTACCTTAAAAAATGCAAACCACTTGTAGTTGTTCACCACAAGCTCGAAGCCTTGGTTGTAAATTAGCGTGAAGAAGCCGTAGTTCCCTTTACTGTCCAGGGCAACATCAAATTTTTGAAGGTTCACAGTTATTTCCTCTTCCACAGGTCCTAAAAAGAAGGAGCAAAGAGGTCAGGAACTGAAGCCAACTGGGCCAAGAACACCAGTAATGTTTAAAACATGTAGAATGTTTCCTCCAAAGTATAGTGAAAATATGAATAAAACCCCACTTTTTATATTTCTTTAGAAATCTCAAGATTCTATGATCAGCTTCTGGACTGGAAATTGATAACAGTCATGCTGGAGAAACTAGAGATGCCCACAGAAAACATGTGATTATTAAAAAAAACTCTAAAATTAAAACAGCAAAACAGCAGAGGGAAAACAATCAGGGACATCTAATCACCTCTCAACAAAAGATTGCTCCAGGCATGTGTTAACATTCACACCTAGCTCCAGCGGACAAGAGTCCTTTGTCCCACCCTGGTCTTTCCACAGATATATAAACCCATTTTCCTAGTTCCAACAGACCTCACTACCTCTGAGGATGCTTGCCATAGATGCAGGTGAAATGTCAGGAGAGAATGCCTCTAGAACATGGCCATATAGCCCGAAAAAACCCACAACAACCCAGTGATTCCGGCCATAAAAGTCTTCAACAATACAAACATGTGATTATTTATTAATTAATTTACTGTATTTATACCCCACCCTTCTCATCCCCAAGTGGATTTAAAGCGGCCTTACAAAAGGCAGCAATTTGATGCCGTATCAAACAGACATATAATAAAATAAACATATTCATTAAAACATAAAATCAAAAGCAATATAAACATTATAGCCCATTATTAAAACCATGCAATCTGAAATCATAGTCAAAAAGCCATTCCAGTCATTATTGCACATGTTCCATCTTCCCTTATTGCACTGTACTTTCTTTCTGAAGGTTGGGAGGGAGGGGGCTGACCTGATCCATAGCTGAGGTGCCACCACTAAGAAGGCCCCGTCTATTGTCCCCACCAGTTGCGCCTACGAAGGAGGACCTGGAACATTGTTATTTCTGTATCAGATCTTTCCACTTCTGTGGCATTAAGCGATAGCATTCAGAACCATATTTTTTACAAGAATGACTTGCTGGCTCCCATCATGTGAGAGCCTCGAGGTGGAGAAATGCCATTGTTTGCTCCTTCTACCATAGCCGCCTGAACTTGTGACTATGATCCCCAGAAGAAGGAAGTGGCGATGTTTGATGAGAAAAGAAGAAGAACAATCACAGGGCTTCAAACCACAACGCTGTTCTTCTCCACATATGAATCTGCCTTTGGCAATTTGGTTTGCTTTTCCGTCTACTTTCTCCTTTGCATTGGAAGATGCAGGGTGCACATACACCATAGCACAAGTATGGGCAAACCCAGCCTCGAGGGCTAGACATGGCCCCTTGGACTCTTTTCTCAAGCCCTCCTCTCTCTCAACCACCCTATCCTTCCTTCTCTCTTTCCTTCCTCCTTCCCTCCCTCCCTCCCTTCCTTACCTCCCTCCCTCCCTCCCTTACCTCCCTCTTTCTCTCTCCCCCCTTCCTTCCCTTCCACTCTTTCATCCTTTTTTCCTTCCCTCTTCCCTCTCTCTTTATCCTTACTTCCTTTTCATCCTTTCCTCCTTCTTTCCTTCCTTACAAACTTCTCTTCCTCCCTCTCTCATCCTTTTCCTTCCTCCTTCCCTTCCTTCTCTCTTTCCTTCCTCCTTCCTTCCCTTCTTTACCTCCTTCTTTCTCTGTTCCTCCTTCCTTCCCTTCCACTCTCTCCTTCCTTCCCTCTTTCCTCCCCTCTCTCCCTAAATCTTTCCCTTCCTCCCTTTCATCCTTCCAACCCTCTCTCTTTTCTTCTTCCTTCCCTTCCTTCCATCACCGGGCAGCCAGTCCTCTTAGCAGGGAGTACTAGCATGTGGTCCCCAAGTTAGAATGTTTTCTCATGCCTGCTATAGCATCAATAAAGTTTGACAACATTTTAAACTGCCATGGCTCAATGCTGTGGAATCCTGGGATTTGGAGTTTGGTGAGTTGGCAGCACTCTTTGGCAGAGGGCTAACAACTTTGCAAAACTACAGTCCCCATGAATCTATGACATTGAGCCATGGCAGTAATATTGGTGCCAAACTGCATTAATACATTAGCCTCCGCAACTAAGATAACAAATGTAATAGAATACTGTACTGAAACATGTCTTTTTTAACTTTGTTTATTGTATGTATTTTTATTGCATTGCTGTTAGTGTTTTGTTTTTATTTTTCTTTATGTATATGTATTTTGGGCTTGGCCTCATGTAAGCCGCCCCGAGTCCCCGTCGGGGAGATGGAGGCAGGATATAAATAAAGTTTATTATTATATTATTATTCTCTAAATAAAGGAAAAGTTCCATTGAACGTTGTTGCTGCTAACTCTGTCAATTTAGAGTTATTGAGAAAATGGCTGACCTCCAAGTTGAACTGTTATTGGAAGCCTCGCTCAGGTCTTGCAAAGTATAGTAGCTGGTATTCCTTGGAAAGTCCCATTTAAATATTTCCAGGCCTGATCCTGATCACCTTTCAAGACCAGACAGATCTGGCACCTTGGGATAATTTAGGGCTGAACTGGAGAAAAATAGTTTGGGAAGAACTTTTCCTTTCTCATAATCCTGGAAATCTGGGTCATCTACCTATGCATATGGCAGGTGATTCAGGACAAATAAATGGAAGGATGTCTTCACACAGAACAGGCACCAACTGCAGAGCTCGCTGGGCCCTTCTGCACTGTCCTCTATCCCAGGATATGATCCCAGATTATCTGCTTTAAACTGGAATATATGAGACCCCAATGCCAGATAAGCTGGGATAAACAGATAACATGGGATCAAATTCTGGGATATAAGGGCAGTGTGGAATTGACCACTGTCACAAAAGGTAGTAGATGTTTGCTAGCTTGCATAGCTGGGTGGGAAAGACTAGATAAAAGATGGGGGATTGGGCTACCAGTAACGACTAGTCAGGGACGGTTTATGCAACCTTCCACATTGAGGCAACATGCCTCTATGTTTCAGTTACTGAGAGTGCAAGATAGGGATCGTGGTTGCTAGTGGACTTCTCAGATTGTCTATTAGGTAAACAGAACATTGGACTTGATGGGCTTTTTGAGTGATCCAACAATGTGGCTCACTCCAAGAGCTCATTAGTACAATAATTAAATGTATTTAGACTGCAACTCCCATCATCCCTCACCACAGACTAGGCCAAATAGGGCTGGTGGGAAATGGAAGTCCAAATATAGAATCATAGTGTTGGAAAAGATCTCATGAGCCATCCAGTCCAACCCTCTGCCAAGAAGCAGGAAAATTGCATTCAAAGCACCCCTGACAGATGGCCATCCAGCCTCTGTTTAAAAGCCTCCAAAGAAGGAGCCTCCACCATTCTCTGGGGCAGAGAGTTCCACTGCTGAACAGCTCTCACAGTCAGAAAGTTCTTCTTAATGTTCAGATGGAATACATGTAGAAGATCCCAAAATGTCTATGTCTGCTGCATCAAAAAAAGGTTATGTAAATTGGAGACAAATAAAGGGACACATACATGCATACCTTCAACTTTCAAACCAAATTAGAAAACTATAGTGTCATTCCTTTTGTGACCTTCAAAATTCTTGCAAAAGCTGGACCCAGTTGAACTGACTAAAGTTTTTAGAGCTATAAACCTTTTTCCTGCTCGGTGATCTTGAACAAGTGACACTTCCTCAGCCTCAGAGGAAGGCAAATCTCCTCTGAACAAATCTTGCCAGGAAACCCCTGTGATAGGCTCACCACAACTTAGAAACCACTTGAAGGCACACAACAGTGACAACAAAGCGCTTCTGTAGCACGGAGCATAGTGGCACAGGAGGTAATTTTTGAAAAGGAAATGGTTCCTTTTATCTTGCAATGACTGTGCCATAAGAGAAGAATCATTTAATATTTTCCCAACTGTCTACTACAGAAAAAGCTGCTAAGTCTTTGCACTGGGCCATATCATTAGTAGCATATAAAATCAGAGCAACAACTGTATATCTCCACATACATATATTATGTTGGGCTTTGTGTTGTACTGGCTTCCAGAGTTTTAGGATTTAATGAGATCTGAGTACACTAATACTAACAAAACCTCTGAGCACGAAGAAAGCGTCATCCTCATATCCATCGGGGATATTTTCCTAGAGGAGCCTTCTAATCAAGGTAAAAGAAGAAAGAGCAAAAGCTGGGTTGCAGTTAAACATTTAAAAAAACCAAGATTATGGCAACCAGACTGATTGACAACTGGGAAATGGAAACAGTCGAGGCCGTGACAGACTTTGTATTTCTAGGTGCAAAGGTTACTATAGACGCAGACTGCAGCCAGGAAATCAGAAGATGCTTACTTCTCGGGAGGAGAGCAAGGAGATTCCATCTGAACATTAGGAAGAACTTCCTGACTGTGAGAGCCGTTCAGCAGTGGAACTCTCTGCCCTGGAGTGTGGTGGAGGCTCCTTCTTTGGAAGCTTTTAAGCAGAGGCTGGATGGCCATCTGTCAGGGGTGCTTTGACTGCAATATTCCTGCTTCTTGGCAGGGGGTTGGACTGGATGGCCCATGAGGTCTCTTCCAACTCTATGATTTTATGATTCTAATGTCCAATCTCGATAAAATAGTGAAGAGTAGAGACCTCACACTGGCAACAAAGATCCGCAAAGTCAAAGCAATGGTATTCCCTGTAGTAACCTACGGATGTGAGAGCTGGACCATAAGGAAGACCGAGCAATAGATGGTTTTGAATTGTGGTGTTGGAGAAAAATTCTGAGAGTACCTTGGACCACGAGAAGACCCAACCAATCCATACTTCAGGAAATAATGCCCGACTGCTCACTGGAGGGAAGGATAGTAGAGGCCAAGATGAAGTGCTTTGCCACATCATGAGAAGAAAGGAAAGCTTAGAGAAGACAATGATGCTGGGAAAAGTGGAAGGAAAAGGGAAGAGGGGCCGACCAAGGGCAAGATGGATGGATGGTATCCTTGAAGTGACTGGCTTGACTCTGAAGGGGGGGGTGGTGACGGCCAACAGGGAGCTCTGGCATGGGCTGGTCCATGAATCATAGAATCAAAGAGTTGGAAGAGACCTCATGGGCCATCCAGTCCAACCCCCTGCTAAGAAGCAGGAATATTGCATTCAAATCACTCCTGACAGATGGCCATCCAGCCTCTGTTTAAAAGCTTCCAAAGAAGGAGCCTCCACCACACTCCGGGGCAGAGAGTTCCACTGCTGAACGGCTCTCACAGTCAGGAAGTTCTTCTTAATGTTCAGATGGAATCTCCTCTCTTGTAGTTTGAAGCCATTGTTCCATGTCCTAGTCTCCAAGGAAGCAGAAAACAAGCTTGCTCCCTCCTCCCTGTGGCTTCCTCTCACATATTTATACATGGCTATCATATCTCCTCTCAGCCTTCTCTTCTTCAGGCTAAACATGCCCAGCTCCTTAAGCTGCTCCTCATCGGGCTTGTTCTCCAGACCCTTGATCATTTTAGTCGCCCTCCTCTGGACACATTCCAGCTTGTCAATATCTCTCTTGAATTGTTGTGCCCAGAATTGGACACAGTATTCCAGGTGTGGTCTAACCAAAGCGGAATAGAGGGTTACAAATGAAGTTACAAAGAATTGGAAGCGACTGAATAAACAACAACAACAAATGGCAGTGTAGACTCAATGGTGTCAAACTGCATCCATTCCTCAGTGTCCCACCCCTAGTGGAAGAGTTCCTAAATTCAAGGGAGTTGGAGGAGGGGTTTGTTTCCTGGCTACCTCATCACACTTGAGAATGAATCCACTTACAATCCGGTTTCTGCCTCTTGCAGAATTCTGGGGTTTGTAGTTTAGGAAGGAAACTCTAACAGCCTCACAAAACCACAAACCCCAGAATTTTGCAGGAGACACAAACCTGATTCTAAAGTGGATTTTTCTCTCTAGTGTGATGAGCCGCTGGGAAACTTTTTTGCTTTCCTTTCTGGAGGAAGAGCGCAGAACAACGGGGAGAGGCGTTTCTCTCCCGACTTACCCGGAACGGAGCAGTTAACGTGCCGGTAGGGACCCCCCTGGGCCCGGGTCACTCGGAAGAGCCAGCTGCCTTGCAGGTCTTCAAAGGTGCAGTTGGCCGGCGTGTCTGCCACACCCGGGTTCAGGTGGGAGAAGAGAAGGAGAAGACACGTGAAAGGCGCCAGGCGTGCCATAGTGCAGCCGGCCAAAGAAGTGGCTCTGGGGCTTGGAAGGAAGGGGTCAGGCGCGGGTTTAAGAAAGCAGCAACCGGAACAACGGTGCTCGGAAATGCCCGCCCCTGAGCGTCACGTGTGAAAGGGGAACCCCGTGTCCCTTTGCTCCAATGGGATCGGCGCCTGCTTCTACTCCTGGGCTGTGTCTCCCTTGAAAACAAACTCGCAGGATCGCCTCTTGGGCTGCAAAGATCCCAAGCCACATCTTCAGTGTGGAATGAATGCAGTTGGATACCTTCCCTGGCTCAGGGTTATGGGATTCCTGTTGCAAACTGCATTGGTTCCAGCCATGGGCAAGCTTGGGCCCTCCCTCCAGGTGTTTTGCACTCCAACTCCCACATCGGCTGTTAGGAATTGTGGGACTTAAAGTCCAAAACACCTGGAGGGAAGACCCAAGCTTACCCCTGCCTGCTATATGGTCTCAGGACAGTAATTCCCACTACCTTCAGTCCTTGTCCTACTTCACAGGATTGTTGTGAAGCAGGAGTGAGGACAATCCCATAAGGTTTGTATAGGCTGTGAATCCTCGTATATAGCGGGGGAAGCTAGCATCCCCCCCCAAAAAAATAAACCATATATATATATGTATACATACACACACACACACACACACACACAGATTCATATAAATATACACAAGCACACATACAGACGTGCACACACACACACTTATGCATCTACACAAGCACACACATATACACAATATACATATACACATATATACACAAATACATACACATATATATGCTCATATATACATATACACACATATATGCATATACACAAGCACACGTATATACAATATACACATCTAAACAAATACACAAGTATATACACATACATACATATATATATACACACACATATATACACATACATACATACACACATATGCATCTACACAAGCACACACATATACACAAATGTATACACGTATACACATATATATACACACACACAAACACACATACATACACAAATACACATATACACAGACTGGGCCACAACAATGCATGGCAGAGGACGGTAGTATATATATATCTAGTCGTCCCCTGCCACGCATTGCTGTGGCCCAGTCTGTACAGTGTTTTGTGTGTTTGTGTATATATGTGAGCTTATATGTGTGTATATATTTGTGTATCTGTATATATGTGTGTTTGTGTATATAGATAGATATGTGTGTGTGTGTGGGGGGGTATGTGTGGGTGTATATATGTGTGTGCATATATGTGTGTGTAAATGTGTATATATGTATGTATATATTTGTGTGTTTATAAGTGCATATGTATAATGTGTATATGTGTGTGCTTGTCTTTATGCATATTTGTGTTTATATATGTGTATGTATGTGTGCATGTGTATATTTGTGTATGCATGTGTATGTGTGTGTATGTAGATGTGTGTGTGTGCTTGGGTATATATATATGTATGTGCATGTATGTATGTGTGCATGTGTATATGAGTGTGTGTGTGTATATATATGGTGTATTTTGGGGTTTTTTAAGTCTGTTCTGCTGAGGGTTTTTTTTTTTTTTTGTATTTTTAGGGGTGATGAACACTCGTTGGACTGTTAGGTGTATTGTTTCAAAATTTCATGTCAATTCATCCAGTGGTTTCTGAGTTATGTTAATTCCACAAACGAACATTACATTTTTATTTATATAGATGTGTGTGTGTGTGTGTGTGTGCGTCAGAAGCAACTCGTGGAGGAACTATAGTTAGACACTAAGACAGACTCTAAAAGGGTTAGAGTAGTGTGTGTAAAAGGAACTTTTAAGACAAAAGTTAAAAGATTCCTGTTTTAAAGTTTAAGTGTGGAACCTCTTCTTAAGCATTCAAGTTTTGAAATATCAAATCTGTAACGGAGCCCCCTGTGGCGCAGTGGGTTAAACCCGTATGTCGGCAGGACTGAATACTGACAGGTTGCAGGTTCAAATCCGGGGAAGAGTGCGAATGAGCTCCCTCTATCAGCTCCAGCTCCTCATGCAGGAATATGAGAGAAGCCTCCCACAAGGATGGTAACACATCAAAACATCCGGGTGTCCTCTGGGCAACATCCTTACAGACAGCAAATTCTCTCACACCAGAAGCGACTTGCAGTTTCTCAAGTCACTCCTGACATGACAAAACAAAAACAAAGAGCAAACCAGTTAACTGCAACCATTAAGCTTACGAGTTCCCCCTAGGGGTGAGAAAAGCGGTATATAAATACTGTAAATAAATAAATAATTATTGTGCCTATTTAAGTAAATAAACATCTAGGTTCTTGTAGGTTTTTTCGGGCTATAGGGCCATGTTTTAGAGGCATTTCTCCTGACGTTTCGCCTGCATCTATGGCAAGCATCCTCACTACCTCTGAGGATGCTTGCCATGGATGCAGGCGAAATGTCAGGAGAGAATGCCTCTAGAACATGGCCCTATAGCCCGAAAAAACCTACAAGAACCTAGTGATTCCAGCCATGAAAGCCTTCGACAATACAAATAAACATCTTTTTCCTGTTTGAACCAACTTATGTCTCCGTGTGCCTCTCATACATTGCAATAAAGGAGGTAGCCCGTGGAAATAAAATAACTGGTGGCAGCGTATATATTGCGTTAAGAAAAAGAAAGGGGCCAGCATCCTCTACAGTTTGGGGGTATCCAGTATTGGTGGGATATCTCTAAATGTCTGGTTCCGATTCTTTACAGTTTCTATGTATTATCAAATAGAATTTTATTTTTCCTTTTGCTAATCTTAATTTATAGGTTCAATTGGACTATATCCTGTATCTTGTTTAACCCTTTATTGATAAATTCTCCAGGTTTTTTCCAGGTTCTGGCGATTTTGTGTCTTAAGCACATAACACGACTGATCTATGAGTTTTATTTGCCAAATCCATAGTCTTACTTTCAAATACAAAATATTGGGATGCTCCACTGAAGCATACAGTCCACCCCCACCCCAACCCACCACGATTTGCCTTATCCATTATGGAACTTCATCCCTGAATCTTCGTCCTTTTGACTCCAATCCCGTTTCTACACACTTTCCATTATTAATCCTAAAAATGCAGCACTTTTATTGCTCCCATGGTACTGTTTTCATGATGTTATGTTATATTGTAATATGTTTCCATTTGGTTTTGTTTTGTTTTTATTTTACTGCATTRCATTTTAACTCTGTGCTCTCTGGGCTTGTCCCTTTGTAAGCCGCCTCAAGTYGCTTTGGGGAGATCGAGGCGGGGTATACAAATAAAGTTATTATTATTATTATTATTATTAATTTAAAACTTTTATATCCCAATCTTCTCTACCTCCGTAGAGGGACTCAAACCGGCTAACAGCAAGGATTCAATGCTAACAGCACAGTCAAAAATCAAAACACTCTAACAAAAACATCAAGAATGAATTAAAATACATATAGAGTAAAATACATATAAGTCAATTCACCAAGATAAAATCATGTTCTCCAGACSCTTGAACATTTTAGTCTCCCTCCTCTGGACACATTCCAGCTTGTCAATATCTCTCTTGAATTGTGGTGCCCGGAATTGGACACAATATTCCAGGTGTGGTCTAACCAAGGCAGAATAGGGGGGTAGCATGATTTCCCTGGATCTAGATACTATACTCCTATTGATGCAGGCCAAAATCTCATTGGTTTTTTGTTTTTTTTTTGTTTTTTGCCACCGCATCACATTGTTGGCTCATGTTTAACTTGTTGTCCACGAGGACTCCAAGATCTTTTTCACACATACTGCTCTCGAGCCATGCGTCCCTCATTCTGTATCTTTGCATGTCACTGTTCAACTTCATTGAACAGTTTCAAAACAATCTGTTAAGATCGTTTTGAATTCTGCTCCTGTCTTCTGGAGTATTGGCTATCCCTCCCAATTTGGTGTCATCTGCAAACTTAATGATCATGCCTTCTAACCCTTCATCTATGTCATTAATAAAGATGTTGAACAGGACCGGGCCCAGGATGGAACTCCACTTGTCACTTTTTTCCAGGATGAAGAGGAAGCATTGGTGAGAATCACCCTCTGGGTTCATTCGCTTAACCAATTACAGATCCACCTAACCGTAGTTTTGCCTAGCCCACATTTGAATAGTTTGTTTGCCAGAAGGTCATGGGGGACTTTGTCAAAGGCCTTACTGAAACAGCCAGAAGTGTTTGCCCAACCTTCTTGTTCTCGGGAAATTCATCAGCAGGGTTGGGTAGAGGTCTGTGGGTTTAGCTGGTTATATTTTGGTAAATAAGTTTATACATTTTATATAAAGAAATAGATACAGTACACAGAAAGGTACAAGTTATGCAAATAGTAATAAAATAGATACAATTTATTAAAGGGTTAGATATGATAGCGTTTAGGGATTTACAGCTGCTGTTGGTTCGGTCTCAATCTTCTGATATTTTGAACCTTCCAAATTTGGAAAGAGTATTTTAAAAAGGGAAAATCATATATTTATTTTGGAGCCCTTGGTGAACAAAAAGTTTTTGGTTGTATTTTTCAACAATGGCTCGATAACAAAACCACTACACCACACTGTACCAGTTGAAATAAAACCTCACATAGTGTGGAGCTACACTGTAACTGCCATGGCTCAACGTTAGGAGATCCTACAATTGGTAATTTGTTGAGGTGTTAACAGTCAATTGCAGAGAAAGCTAAAGACCTTGTAAAATTAGAATTCTCGTGATGTCAAGACCCAGAAGCCTCAAGAACGCCAACCACAATGTAAAAGGTCCAAACACAGGTTTATTGAACACAAAAAGGCTTTAGAGACACTTGCTTCAGTGTCTCTAGCACAAACTAAAAGTCTATAGCAACCGCTATGCAAAAAACTCAACTCAAATATAATCCGGATTATCCTGGAGCATAATTTGGGATAACAAAAATATACAGCAATCTGCTTGTAATTCAAAATGTCCAAAAAGCACCAAAAAATAATGTGGGAGCAAGCAAAAAAGGCAGTCCGTAGTCCAGGCATGTCCAAAGTACGAAGAAACAGTCCAAAAAGCGTAGTCATAGTCAAACACGGTCCGTAATCAATCAGGGAGAGTTGTAGTCAGCACTTACGAAGTATCAGCCAG